GTAGGCTCTTCCGTGACAGCAATCGATGCTTTGAAAAGAGTGCCTGCCTTGGAGACAAGGCGAAGCTGAAGCAGGCTGAGTGATACTGTGGCGCTGATGCAAGCACCTCATGATGCTGCTGGGTTGGCGCGTGGACAGCCGCAGGAAGACCCCGGCTGCTGGCTGAGCTCTGAGGCCAGAGCTGTAGAAAGCTTTCTGAGAACATGGTGGATCCTTTTCAGATCTAGTACTCCTTTTATAAAAATCCTTCTGGGTTATATAAAAGTCCTTTTATAGATGGGGAAACAGGTTTTGAGGTAATGTCTTACTCCTAAGGGGCAAAGCCAGGCCTTGATTTCAGGCCTTAAAACACAAAATATAGTGCTTTTTCCACCAACGTTTGAGTGGTCCTAAGAGGCAGATTTTGACTAAGTATCAGAACAACTGTTTTAAAAGTGTGTTAGGATTGAATGGGCTGCACCGAGAGACAAAGCATTCATGCTGGATGTGTTCAAGCAGAGGTGGAACAAGCTCCTGACAAGTTTGTTGCAAAGGAATTCAAGTATATGAAGGGTTGGGCACAACCTTTTAAATTCCTTTTACACTGAATTCTCAGGTTCTGTGAAATATGAGAATCTTGATATTTCTGCATCTGGTTCATGCTTTCTCACTGAAATGAAAAAATGACACAATACAAAGATGGGAAGGGAGCATAAAGATCACTCTGGTGCGGCACCTTCATTTTACAAGTGAAGATGCAAGCCCAGAGAGGCCGAGGTAAGTGCTGAAGCCATGGCTGCAACCCAGGCCCCCTGGTTTTCGGGTGCTCTGGTTTTCCTAACAGGACTCTATTGTTCTGCCTGGGACGGCAGCCTGCCATGCTCCCAGGACTCGAAGCCAGAAACCTGTGTGTCACTGCTGCTGGACTCACCCCTCACAGGAAAACAGCCATCAAGTTCTTTAGATTCTGTCTCCTGAAATGTTTCTTTACTCAGTCCCTTCTCATTACGTTTACTGTTAATTGTCCTGACGTAGCCACCAGCATCTCCTCAGGCATGGCACTGGCTTCCTGATGAGCTTGTCTCACGTTTTGCCCTGTCCGTCCATTCTTCATGCGGCAGTCAGAGTGAGCTTCCTAAAACCCAGATCTCATCACGCCATTCCTCTGCTCAAACCCCTTTAAGTGGGCCACTCCTGGTCCCAGGATAAAGCCTAAGTTATCCTTGAAGGATCTTCATGCCTTTGCCATGGTCTCCGGCTGCGTCCTCCCCATCCCATACACACCCCGTATTCTCCAGCCGCAGAGAATTACCTGCAGTTGTTTCCCACACACACTACGCGCCCTCTCACCTGACCGTCGGACCTGCCGAGCCCTGGAATGTGCTCTTCAGATTGTCCTTTGTGGTTCCTTCTCACTCCTCAGGACTGAGCCTCGTTCTAGAACCTATCGTGTCTCTTGTGGGCTTGGTGCATTGTTTCTTTTTCTCACATCGGCCTTCTTCAAGCACAGAATTTATTGCAAATTCACAAATACACCCCCCCCCCAAAAGGAGGCAGGGGGAGAAAAAGAGGCTTACAGAAAGATTATGATAGAGACTGAAGAATCTAAGAATATGTTTTCTGTCAGAATGTAGTCGGTATTCAGCCCCACTCAGTTATTCATAAGTGTGGGCCTGGTGGTATTTGATCCAGAAATCAGTATTTTCATGTAAAAACTCAATTTTAAAAAAAGTTACTAAAGCAAATGTTAAAATTACTCCACGACAAACCAAACATACCTCCAAGTAGATCTGTGCCAGTTTGAAAGTTCTGTATCCTCGTTGTATATTTACATGTTTGTTTCTTCCAACTAATGTGAGCACCTGAACAGTAAGGATGTTTGTGTTGCATCCCCAGCACAGCTCCTGGCACATGACAGGCAAGGAAAGAATGAATGAGTATAAGAATCCAGAGCAAACTTAGTGCCATGGCATACATGCAAAAGCCAGCCATGAGATTCAAGTTTCTGAAAGGATTTTATATTTGACTTTAACATGATTGACTTCAGCAAACAGAATTATGGGGAAGAAAGATACACACCTAGCACTTGGCAGGTTTCTTGTCTTAGGAACCACTCAAGCAGAAAGAAATTAGGTGTGGGCAGTGAAGGCTGTGCAACCTACAAATCGAACCAGTGGGTTTAATAATTAAAACCTGGACTAAGTACAGTGTCAAGTGGAAAAAGAGCTTCACTCCAGGTTCTACACATTTCCAGCATTGACTATATAGAGCAGAGTGGGGAGGAAGGACTATTTATTAGCAGGTTTATATAAGGTGTAATAACCCCACTTCCAGATATTTCCATCTCTTAAGAAGAAATTGTACTGTTCTCTTTAACATGGGGACAACTCACTTAGGAACACTGATTACACCCACACCCAATTCAACACCCACACCCAATTCAACACCCACTGGAGCTGTCTCACCTTACATTTGACCAAAGAATAGGAAGAAAATTTGATTGCATCAATAGAAAAGCAGTTTGAATTTTATTAAATATCCTAGCTATATACTCGTATGTGCCTGGCTTTATGAGCTGAGGCAACGGAGATCTATAAAACTCTTGTCATCTGACATGCCTGGTTGCCAAAAAGGGACTGAGCAGGACCTCCCCAGACCTCTAGGCTGGGTAGCAGGTGAGTGAGGATCTCACTCCCATGGTCCTCCTCAGGTGTATGGTGGGAAAAGATTAAGACATAGCATTGGGTCTTGGTGTTTCACCTGACCCAGGTAATGTGCACTCCAACAGAGGACTTTTATGGAGATGGTGTCTTAAACTAAAAAGGTAACTTTAATGATGGAATTTCAGGTAAGAACACATTTGGTTAGATGGAGGAAAACTAATTAACCAGGGGAAGCAGAGGATGCAGAAGGTTTAGGGAAATAAAAACCCCAAATACCAAGGTAGGCAGTAACAACTTCTTTATTGGACCATTAGGGACATTTAAATGAAATAACATAGAGATCCAGCTGTATGTCTCGAAATTCAATAAGTACCATTTCCTTGTACCCTTCTTTGTGGATGTGGGTTCCCTGTGACCCTTTGCTGTGTATTTCCTCCTAATTCTATTTAATTCCAAAGATAAAGGATGTAAAGAAGGAAATGAGTGTCAAACCTTAGAGCTGGGGGTTTTATATATATTGCCTCATTAAATGCTGGGAAATAGCCCTATAAAGACTAGACTGCTTAACTACACAAAGTTGACTTACTGTAGTCATTTTGCAATATATACCAATATCAAATCATTGTGATATACACCTGAAACTAATATTATATGTCAATTATACCTCAATAAAGTTATTTAAAAAATACACAATATTGGATCCTAACCAAGCCTGCCACTTGCTGGGTGAGCTTGGAAAAATCCATTTGCTTTCCATTATGATGGTCTTAGCTCACCTTTTGCCAAACCACATCTTAAGTTGCTGCTCTGTCTATGGATTGGCTCCCCTTAGGTGAATGCCCAACTGGACCAATCAAGTAAAGGGATCATGGAAAGCTAAAATCAGCTTTTCTGGGGCTGCTCTTTCAACAAGGGCAATTTTTTTTGGTTATGTCTGTAACAAATACCATTCCTGGTAAGTGTCTAATTGAAGTGTTGCCAAATATTTGGTGAGTAAATGAACATCTTCTTAAGACTCAGGTTGTATTATGTCTTTAGTGATGTCATCCCTAATTTTCCTCCATCCTGGTAGGATAAGTTAGTCCATCCTTTGTACAATTTCTGGACCTTTTAACTCTTATAATGTTGACTCACTGTATCTTTGTTGTTCGTGTGTCTTTTCCACCTAACTCCTGAGGATAGGAACTATAATGAACTTATTAATTTCTATACCCCCAGGGCCCAGCTATAACTGATCATAAGAAAATTAGTAATAGACTCAGTAAATGGGCATAAAAGAAAATTGCTGAATAAATGAGAGTAGATAGTTCCTTTAGGCTCCATAAAAGTGAAACTTAACTGGCTTTACACAGCAGCCTCACTACTAGATAATGACAACAGTGGCTTCAATTTATTGAGTCCTTACCACATGCCAGGCAATGTGCTAAGACTTTCTATGAATTATCCCATTTAATACTTAAAATAACTCCAGGTCCTAATATTAGCCCCGTCTGACAGATGAGAACAGTGAAATTCTAAGGATTAAATAAGTGCCCAACCACCGAGTGGCAGGCACAAAGCCACAGTTCAAAGTCAAGTCTATTTGACACCAAATCCCATGCTCATTATTCTTTAAAGAGGTGGTGGGGGGGGGATGAAAAATAAGGTGATGCTCCTAACTTATTCTACTTCAGTCAGTCCATTCTAAGGCTTCACAAAGGCCACCTGGCAGTTGTAGAACAAAGACTGTCCATGCCAGTAGGGACTATTAAAGGGCATCTGGTCCAGCCCCATCATTTAATAGTGAGGGAACCAGAGGCCCAGAGAGGACTGTCTGGAGAGGCTCAGGTTTAGTTAGTAGAACATCTGCCTGAAACCTAGTATCAGGGATAGCTCCTTTTACTGTTACTGAAGTGCTCTCTGAATTAACTCGAGATTCAAAATTCTGCTCGTCATTTGCACAGAGACTTTCCCTGGCCACATATCTGAACTAGCCCAATCATTCCTTGTCTTCTTATTCTGCTTTATTTTTCATCATAGCAGAGTATACTTACATTATGTATTTATTCATTTACTTGTTTATTTTCCCCACTAGAATACAAATCTCATTTTAATGCACTAAAGTTTTTCTTTGTCCTTCAAAGAAAAAAAATTTTTTTTTTTTCTCATACTGGCCTAACACCACTTTATTAAACTTGATAAACATCCATTTCCTCTCCTGGTTTTCAGCATTCCCCCTCTGCCTCCAAGGACAGGGACCTTGCCTTAGTCCATCCATGCATCCCAAAGCCTGCCTAGCTCAGGACCTGGCATGAGCAGGTCTTCAAAAATGCTTGGGGAGGCTGGTGTGGAGAGTGGCAAGAGTGATAGTCACAGGCATTTTTGCTTAGTAATTTATTTTCTTAAGGCTCCATCAGCAGGTGGAATGGAAGACCCCTCCCACCCTGACACCTTGGGCAACCAAGGCGTTATACTCCTTCACGGCCTGCTCTGTCTGGAGGACCCGCACGTCGATGCCTTGTTTCTCGAGGTACTCCAGTGTTGATGGGGGCACCTGGGAAGAAAGGAAAAGACAAGTAAGTGGTGTGGGGGGCCCCCCAGGGTTTCCTTTCTGTCTTGAGACAAGTATACTCTACAGAATTAAACAGAGACAACCATCACTCCTCAATCACCCGGAATGTCATGGGTCCAAAATTTGGCAGTGAGCCCCAAGGAGTGAAAAAGGCTTCTTAAGAAGTTGACAGAAGTATCATGATATGTATGCATAAAGCTCAGATGAAATGGAAATGGAAAGAGAATGGATTTTTGACTTAGCCTTGGATTTAAGTCCTTGTTGACAGTGTGACCTTGGGTAAGTGAATTAAATTCCCTAAGCCTTTGTTTTCATGTTTGGAAATAAAACTAATAATACGTAGCTCACAGGGTTGGTATGAGAACAAATTTAGCTAAGGTATCTAAAATGTCTAGCAAGGTGCAGACCCCAAACCATGTAAATGTTAAATGTTTGACTCTGTCCAACATGAGACTTAATTCTAACTTTGCCATGTTCCAATCAAGATACGTTAAGCCAGCTATATTAAGTCTCTCAACCCTAATTTCCTCCCCTGTAAAATGAGGATAATAATACATCACAGAATTGCTGTGAGGATGAAATTAATTAATGTATATATACTACAACTCAAATGTCTTCTCAGAAAGGCCACTTTTGACCACCCTGTTTAGAGAAGCCCCTAATAAGTCACCACTTTCTTCATAGAATTTATTATGATCTGAAATTGTCTACTTTTTAAAATTATCCATGAAGGTTGTGAATGTTGTTTGTCTTGTCCTGAGTGCCTAGAAGAGTATCTAACCTAAAGAAGATGCTACATAAATATTTGTAAATGAATTTATATGAGATCTGTCCAGAAGATATCCAGCCATGTAATATGAAAAATAGAGACATTTATTGATGAAGATACAAGATACAAGAAACATTGTACATAGGACAATGATGCCTCAGTCTCTTTCAAAGTAGGCACCTTGGGACCTCACACAGTTCTCCCAATTGCCATCAGCTGCCCCATCATATTTTCCTAAATCTCACAAATGGTCTGAAATCTCTTCCCTTTCAAAGTGATCTTAGTTTTGGGAAAAGTCAGAAGTCACAGGGCACCAAATCTGGGCTGTAGCAGGGCTGAATCACCTGGATGATTTGATGTTTCCCCAAAAACCTCAGCACAAGACATGATGCATGAGTGGGTGTGTTGTGATGAAGCTGCCAATCACCAGTTGCCCATAGCTATAGCCTTCTGAATTATCTGAGTAGTTCTGCAGAGGAATGTTCAAGCTTAATGCAAAATTTGATGGTCTGTTTACTCAGTCACTTTGAAAGTGACAGCCACAGAGTACACGTGCTCACTCAATGGCATCTACCACCCCCACTGACTAGTGCAATGAAGTTGTCATTGTTCACACATGCGCATTCCAGTCCACTCTCCTTGGCTGCCAGGTTACATCAACGTTGTACAAATCATTCTTGTTATATTAGCAATGGTTGGACTTGTTCCGGACAGATCTCGTATAAAAGTGTCTCAATAGCTATTATGAGATACTCTCAACTCTGGCTAGTCCTGAATATTATTTTAAATACATTTTAATTAGACTTTGCCTCTTCAGAAAAGCACTGAAATATTTTTTAAATGCCCAATATTACTTTTCTAAATGTTTGAACAATTTTATAATAAGAGTAGCTTTATAGATATGAATTATTTTAATGGGAAAAAAACTAGGTTAAACTAAAAAGTATAAATAAAGGACACCTTCATCAGTAGGGAGCTGGATTTTAGAACATCTATATAAAGGATGAGGTAGCTTTCTATACACTTAGGTGAAAAGCTGTCTATAGTGTAATAATGTAAATGAATAAAAAGCTACAGAACAATATGTAGAGTGTGACCCTACTTATGTAAAAATGGTTGTAAGTGTATGCATGTATATCTGTATGTGTCAGTGTGTATATATTTGCAGATGTATAGAAGATTGGTGCAGTATACACAAATGTGGAGACTGAGGAGGGGAAATCTTTCACCTTTTTTCCTCCTATATTTCTGCATTGACTCTTTTCTGTAAGCAAAATTAAAATAAATATTTTTTTCCATAATAGGGGAAAAATATAACTTGAATGCATCCAAGAAAAGAAAAGTATTATAAAATCTACTAAAAAAATATAAAGTACTATAAAAATCTAAAGAACCAAATGTTGATAGTTGTAAAGCTTGGGAAATCCCAAGATCGAGGACTTTCTGAGAAACACTTGAAATGATACAGGTCCAGGTTTAGGTAGAGACTGGAGAGTCCAGCCCTGGTAAGGAGAGCAGTATGCAGCCATTATTTTATGCTGGGCCATCCATTGGCTCACCAGCAAAATGAGGGTGCATGATATAAAGAGATGAGCTCCCAACAAGGACATATCTCTAAGGTAAAGGTCCAAGGGATCAGCAACTGTCCTCAGGATGCTTATGTTCATCAATACCTACCTTCAAGGCCTCACTCATCCCTCGGCCAATCACAAGGGTCTGCACACCCTTCTTGACAACTTCCTCCACATCTGCAGGCTGCACACCAGGAGAATGCTGGGTGTGGAAAGAAAAAGTATACCAGCTACCTGCTCTTTTAATCTTTCTTTGCAATTGGCATTCTTGTGGGATTCATTCATTCACCTGTTCATTCACTGAAGAAATGCTTATTGGCACAGAGGTTTATTCTGTGCCAAGCTTTGTTCTGGGCCCTGGGAATAACATGATACGGTGCTGCCCTTCAAGAGCTCTAAGTCTAGTGAAAAATATACAACAAAAGACTAAAAAGAAAAAGTTCTACAAGTGCTGCTGCAAGGAAGTAAGTTCATGATGTTGTAAAACATAATGAAAGAGCACTGAATTCAGTCCTGGGGTGTGTGGAGGAGACCACGACATGACCACTGTACCATAACCTGGACCCAGGCCAGAATGAAGGCTGCTTTCTGCAAACACCCCTTAGAGACTGTCCGATCGCAGCTGATATTCATCCTGACATAAATCAGCACCCCTCTCTTACCTCCTGCTCTGTGCTGGCTCCCAGAACAGGTCGTTATCCTCACCTGGTCAAGCACGTCATTTCCTGTACCAGGTAGCATTTGTGCACTATGACCCGTGACTATCTTCCCGGCCTCCAACCCCCGCCCCACCCCCCAACCATACCCTATATAATTCTCTGGCCCTGCCAAGTGGTGCATGGATCCATTTCATCTTGCAGCTGCCCATGACATGCCCTGTATGTAAGTTTCCTTTAATAAACTCTATTAATTACCAGACTGGAGTGGCCAGCCTCTTCCTTCAGTCTCTGCGCCCTCTGCTTACGGAGGTTAATTTTCAGTCTCAGGGCTTTGCCCTGGGTCCGCGTGTACTAATGGGGGGGTTGGGGCAGGTGGTCAGGGAAGGCCTCCTAGAGGAGGTGAATTTAAGCTGATACCTAAAGGACAAACAGGAATTAGCCAAGTTAAAAGAAATCGGGAAACAAGGCCCTCCAAGTTCAGGGAATAGCATGTACAATGGCTCAGAGGAAAGAAAAACCTAGTGAACTATATAGGTAGTTGAGTAAGACAGGAGTATAATTGACAGGTGAGGGAGGAGGAAGAGATGAGGTAGGAGAAGAAAGCGCTTGGACATCATGCCAAAATTTGGACCATGGGAAGATTTCATAAGACTCCCACACTATTTCCTTTTTCTAAGACCCTTTCCCATGTAGCTCCAGGAAAAATTCTGTTGATGCTTTAAAACCTACCTATCACTAGGTAAAGTCTTCCCAGATTCTCCCAGGGATATTTAAGGTAAGGTGTTCAATGAAGATTAATCCAACATTAAAAGATGGTGGCTTCTCAACTGCTTCCACTTCTGCAAAGGGGATACAGGAGTTAATTGTTTGGGAAATACCAACCCAGCTACTGGGCTTTACCTATTATATCTCCGCACCAGGATGACACTCTCAGCACTGAAACTTGGAAAGAAAAAGCCTTTCTTCCCTGACCTGTCTATCTCCTCTTTTATTCAGTCAACAAGCACTTACTGAGCACTCTACACTAGGCCTTATACCACACACACAGAAACACTGAGATGGACTAAAATAGCCCTTGGAGGAGTTTTTGTCAGGTAAGGTTAGTGAACATAGGGAAATAGCTTCCAAACAGTTAAAAAAGGAAGAGAGAAAATAGAGTGGAGGGTCTCAGAAACCAGAGTGAGCAAATATCAGTGGGGAATCATAGTGGACGACCTGCTGTTTTAACTGGGTCTTGAAGTAAGAGTAGAAGTGTTCCCTGAGGCAGTGGTTGTGGAAGGAGTGCATTCTGACACCGCAGACAAGGTAGAGGGAAGAGCTGCTGCAACGGCTCCTGTGACCTCACTGGGGAATTCTCTTCGGGACATTCAACGAAAATCCTCAACAAAACATTAGCAAATCCAAGGTTGATTCAACATGAAAATATCAATGCAGTTCCCCACAGTAAAGAAGAAAAAGCATGTAATCATCTCAATTGATGCAGAGCAAGCATTTAATAAAGTTCACCATGTATTTAAGAATTTAAAAAAACTCTGAGCAAACTGAACTAGAAGGGAAACTTCTTTAGATGGACACCTAAAAAACCGCTACAGCTAAATATCAAATATAATGCTGGAATATTGAACATTTTCCCTCCAGGACTGGACATAATGGTGTCAGCTAGGCATTTATTTCCTTCTTATCTCTTGGACCCACCCCTTCCTCCCCATCTCCACTGCTGCTGCCCCTGTTTAAGCTGCTATCACTTCTTGTAATGACTGGTGCAGTGACTTTCCAACTGGTTTCCATAAAATCACTTCAGCCCTTTCCAATGATCTGTTCTTCAGTTGCAGGCAGAGGGATCTTTTAAAAACACAAATCCATGTATGTCACGCCTCTGCTTAATAGCACTCGACGGCTTCTCATTGCCCTTAGAACAAATGCCAAACTCTTTAACATAGCCTGGCAGTGTCCAGCTGCCTCTCCAGTCTCATTGCATTTTTTCATGTTTTGTACTCTGCTCATAAGGCCTTCTATCAGCTCTTAAACCATAGCATGTTCTCTCTCACCACTGTGAAGAGAGATGAAAAGAAAATTTACAGACTGGGAGAAAATATTGGCATATCACATATCTGATTTGTACCTAGAATATATGAAGAACTCACAAAACAACAATAAGAAAGCAGTACAATTTTTAAAAATGAATAAAATATTTGAAAAGAAAGGCATTTTTACCAAAGAAGATAATGGATGGTTATGAAGAACATGATAGAACACTCTGTAAGTCCCCATGGAAACGTATACTAAAACTATACAATGAAATACCAGAGGCTGGTGAGAATACAAACGAACTGGATCTTCCATACATAGCCAGTGGAAATGTAAAATGTAGACCTACTTCTGGAAGAGTTTGGTATTTTCTCACAAAGTTGAACATTGTGACTCAGAAATCATACTCGTGGGTATGTATCTTAGAGAAATGAAAACTCACATTCACACAAAAAACTGTACATGAATGTTCATAGCAGCTTTATTTGAAACAGTCCCCAACAAAAAACAACTCAAATGTTCCACAGCTGGCAAGTGAATAAATATATCACATTATAATCCAAACAATGGGATACTCCTCGGCAATAAAAAAGGACACATTTTTGATACACAGGACATGAATGAGTCTGAGATTTTATGCTAAATTGAAAAAACTATACCATCCCATAGAAACTAATGTTCTCCAAATAGTGAAAATAAAGCTATATTATTCCATTAATATGACAAGTAAATGTGACATTTGTATTAGGTCATTTGGCATAATACTAAGATCTGTATATTAGGTAACAGTATTGTATCAGTGTATTTCCTGATTTTGATCATTGTATTGTAATTGTGTAAGACAATGTCCTTGTTTAGGGGAAATACACACAGGTATTTAGGAATATAGGGTATAATATCTACAACAGTTAAGAAATATATATTGGCCCTGGCTGGTGTGGCTCAGTGGATTGAGTGCCGGCCTGTGAACCAAAGGATCGCTGGTTCGATTCCTAGTCAGGGCACATGCCTGGGTTGCGGACCAGGTCCCAAGTAGGGGAAGCACAAGAGGCAAGCACACATTGATGTTTCCCTCCCTCTCCTTCTCCCTCTCTCTAAAAATAAATAAATAAAAAATATTTTATATATATATATATATATATCAATGGAAGGGATGATAAGATATGATAAAGTGTTAACATTTGGATCTGGGTAAAATGAGAATTCTTTGTATTATTCGTGTAACTTTTCTGTAAGTCTGAAGTTTTTCAAAATATACAGGAAATTTAAAGGTAAATAGATAAAATAAAAAATAAAGCAGGAATAGAGCACATACAACTGCATACTTCCTGATTTATTTAGGCAAGGAAACAAATCTTAACAGAAGGCAGGTGGCTACACAAAGCAGGAGCAGATGCAGCACATCTTTGCTGGCTTTCTCCGTGTCTCTTGGTTCCCTGTGGGGTGCACAACTGCTGCTGACATTCTTCACTTAGTCAGAGACTGCCCCAGAGCTGATAACAAAGCCAGTCTCTCTCACGAGTGCTCTTTTATATTCAGACTCACCTCATCAGCATTTTCCTAAGGAAATTACACTAAGACTGTATGGGCTTATGTTTTAGGGAATGTCAAAGAGTGTTCTGAGTTAGAACAACTGTGTGTCAAAGAGTGAACCAAGCTGATGAGCAGAAAGAGTACATCCTCATCTTGAGCGGCTGCGGAGCTGGTGCCCAGGTGTCTCTGAACAGTATCTCTGCCTCCAGCTTTCCCAGTTCTCCACAGATCAGAGGAGATTAGGAGAGATGGGATTCTTGTTCTATAAAGTTATTTAGGTTCATACATTTTAAAAAGGCACAACAAAAAAGGGGGATTTTTTTCACTTGATTACAATAATTGGTCCTTAAAGAACATAAAGGATTGAATTAGATGCCCTTTTTCCACAGCTCTGTGATCAATCCTAGAATCACCCTTTGCTGAACAGTGATGATATGAAGAACCTAAAATTTTTTTCTGGAGTTATGATCAAGGTAAACTATTAATAGAATTACAAATGAGGGTTGGAGAGCTTCGCCTTCCTTAAGTAAATGCATTTACCTCAATTATTGAATGATTCCTTCATTTAGCAAAGAACGGCACCTACTTTGAGAAGCACCATGATGCCCAAACTCTAAGAGCTCACTTTCAAGTATAAGGAAACAAGGCCACAGCTGGGGGCGGGGCGGGGGCGGGGCGTAGGAGGTGGTGCAGGGGACGGGCGGGGCGGGAGGGGGAAGGGGAAGGAGCGAAAGGTGGTGAGACAGTTCCAACCCTAATCGTCTGGAGATTCAGAAACTGGAGACAGCAGTAGCCCATCAGATTTGCCGATCAATGGATCTCAAGTGACGAATTTGGCTGCTGTGTGCTATACTGCAGGCCCAGGGTGTCACAAGCAGAGCAACGAATGCTAACTGCCACAGGCTGTGGATCCAGGCGTTGGCGGGTGATCACTCACAGCCTTGTGCAGACGCCTGGTACAGAGGCGTGAGCAACCTGCCAC